TGTTAGGAGACTTGCGCAATAAAACATCCCCTCCCCCAAAGTATTTGCTTAGAGTACTTTAAGCAAATGCTTTTACTCAGTTAAAATCTATATGCACAAAATAAAATTTCTCACAACACTAGTTTTAAATCTACGCAGATGTTTTTGTTTTGTGTTTTGCTTTGGTCACCCAGGACTTCCCTGTGGTTTTGAATAGTATAATCCTATCTACTGATGAGTTTTTCTTTTGTAACCTTGGGAGCGTCATGCAACAAATTTTAATTTTCCTCATCATCAGTCGCCTCATTCAAAAGTTTTCAGATGAATGCCAGATCCAGAGCAGCACTTTAAAAATTTAATCTGTAATTTCAAAATCAGTCTCAAAATCAGTTTGTCTGTGACGTAGAGGGTAATCCTTTCATAGCCATTTAACAGCAGGTGTTGTTGAAAGGAAACAATAGCTGTCATGACTGAGCAATGGAAAAAAAAATATTTTTCATTCTCCAGATGTTTTAAACCATGACAGTGAGTAAACTGGAAAAAAAAAATTGGTAAAGGAAGGAGATGTTATCTGATAAGATGTCTGCAATTTTTGTGTGTGTAATATAATAGTTTATAATGTAAAAATATTAGAAGAGATAAAGCAGCTGCAACGAATTTCTGTTTGAACTACTCTGTACTGAATTTTTTCCGAGCTGTTTATATGGAGATTCTAAAATATACTACGTTTAGTGTAGTGTTTAGTGTTAGAAGATAAAAAAGCCTTCTCAATCAAAACTAATATCTAATAAAATATTTTTTTTGTAAATGTATTGTAGGAAATGTAATACTGTTTAACGGAATTACATATTTAGAAGAACAAGATTTCAAACATTTCCTTTACATTTAATTCCTTTTGTCCTAATTTAGCAACACTGTTTTGAAAACACTTTATTTGGTAAATCCATATTTGAAATTCCATCTATGACGTCATAGTAGATGGCTTAAGCTCTCCTTAAACAAATCATAATGCATGTGAGATCACAGATAGGTGCACCCTGTGGTTTCACAAGCTCCTACTTGCAGTGATGCCAATAAATACTTACGTTTGGGCTCTTACCATTGTGTGGTCAGCTTTAAGAAATCTTGACTTGACATACCACCGTTGAAAATAGGAACCTTAGCAAACACAAACAGATTACTACATGCACAATCCAAACATCCACAACAGTGCAAACATGTGTAATAGTCTTAACTATGGGTTGGACATTTGTCTGTGAAAGCAGTTGGTGACAATGTGTCAGTGGCGTGACTATGATGTCAGCTTTGTCTACAGGTGTGTCCAAAAGGTATTATTTTTCAGGTAACCTTTGGCTGCCACAGCACTAGTGAGGAAAAATAGTGTTCATGTTCTTTTTTTTTTTTAAGAGCAAGACTGATAGCTAAACGCATGGACTTGGTTCAGTTGAACAAATCTTCCAGGAACGTTTTTGACTTTGAGAGTAATTTGTTATGATAATAGCAAGACATAAACATTAGCTTTTAGGATCTTGGAGTAAAGTTCAGACTTCAAATGCTTTTTTTGCCCCTTAGTCCTGCAGCTTCGCCTCAAATCCCCCAAAACCAAAGGCTTTCCATTTAGAAGGAACATAAATCACTGCAAGTAATTTGTCATTAATTATCGTCTTGGCACTGAGAAACAAGAAGATCAGGATTCTGTATTTGTTTTAGCACAGCTATTACCAATTACTCTGACAGATTTGATGTGATTGATATTCAGTGCATTCCAATGTCTAACTATTGATGGTACATACAGTTTAGCATTTCTGTTGCGCTGTTTAAATGTCCCATTCTGATCTGGTGAATGTTAACACAATCTAGCCTTATATATGTTTACAGTGTCTTACAAAACTATTCACACTTTTTTAATGAGTGTAAATATCTCTTTTCTGCCCAAACTTGAATGTTATTTTTTATAGTCTATTGTGTAAGGTAACATGTATTTATAAAATGGAGGGAAACTTAGGCATGTTTTCTTTTTTTTGTGCAGCAAATTGTGTTGAGCCTCTTTAACTGTGGTAACTCCTATTACGGTGCAATGAAATAAACTGTTTTCTTATTAGTATTTTGCATTGACATCTTTCCAAATAAATACTCTTGTTCTGTGAAGGCCTCAGAGATGTGTCAGAGAAAACATCAATAAAAAGAATTATAAAGAAGGGTGAAGTTACACCAGCATCTCACACTTTGGACATCTCACAGAGCCCACCAAGACATGGATTCCCCAGCTAAACATGCAGGTCTGAAAACAAGAAATATATATATTTTTTTACAGACAAGCTTCCAAAAGTCCTATTAGAACTTTAAAGAACCTGCTGACATTCACAGTTCATGTGCGTTAGTCTTTAGATTGGAATATATCAGTTGCGCACTCTGAATATCTGTCCTTTATGAACGAAGTAAGATAAAAGCAACTGTCGATTTTAAGTCAAGCAGTAACATTTGCATTTTTTTTTTTACCAAACACAGGCATAACATAAAAGAAGTTGTTATAGTTCAGAAGAGACTGAAAGTAAACTACATGTAACTATATGCAGCCTCATGCTGTGGGGAACCTTTTTCTTCAGCAGAGGAAAATGATAAAAGGTGATCAGAGTTAAGCTATAACTACAATGAATATGGTTAGGTAAAAGCAATTCCATGGGTTAGTATAAAGCTGTACAAGTGCAGAACTTAATCAAATTTTGGAAAAACATAAAAAGTCAATTTTCACCTGCACTTTCACAAAGTTAAATTAACAGCAAATTAAAGAACATAAAGATAATCCATCCATCCATCCATTTTCGAACACGCTTAATCCCAAGTGGGGTCACGGAGGTGCCATCTCCAGCTGTCAATGGGCGAGAGGCAGGGTACACCCTGGACAGGTCACCAGTCCATCGCAGCATAAAGATAATGCAACCTCCAAAATGTAAATCTATAAAACAGTTATAGAAACACCCTCCGAATGATTTACTGCTTTAATTGGACAGTGCTGCTGCAAGGTATGAACTCTAGACGGCTGAATACAAATGCTGCTGCATATTTCAGATGTTTATTAGAAAAGAAGAAAAACCATGCATAATTTAACTTCTGCTTCATAATTATGTGTAGCTTTATTGTGCAACAGAAAAGTTAAAAATTTTAGGGGATATGTTTACTTGTGCATCAATTTTTTTTTTTCATAACGATAAAGAGAACTGACTAGCTAAACATGAATCTTTTTTGATTAAAACTTGAGAGTTATTAATGCGTTTTAGTCAACGAGATGAGACTATAAAAATTTGTGGGTGGTCTTTCAAACATTTAAACTGCATTATTGTGCTGCCATCTGCTAAGCTGTATCAGAAGTGCTGCTGCGTCCTGTTTGGTCACGCAGCCCACCTGCCGTGCATCAGTACTCATTCTGCAAACGGAGATCATGAAAATAATCCAGAAAGGTCCGGGTGTCTGACAGAATGTCGGTACTGTGCGCTGAACTCTGAAAAACTTATCTTCCATCTTTGCTTGTGCAGAAATGCGTCTTTGTGCGCACTGAGCTTTGCTGCACTCTATGCTCTGATACAGTAGTTTGCGCCCGGCAGTATGGCTCTTCCTGGCCTCGCTACTTAATAAACAACATGTGGCTGATCATCCTCTGCCAAGCGTCAAATAATCCCTTTGTCTATCAAGATTTTATTTCTTTCAGCTCAAAGGAGGTGATACTAAACATTCTTTAATTTTCACCAAATAGAATCCCTAAATTATATCCAAAGCAAATATTTCATTGCATACTGTTTATTTTTGGATAAAGACCCAGATGAAAAGGTACATAGATCTTCTCATATACTCTCTCATAGTTCTTGTATCTATCTATTTAAATGTGATGTAAATGTTTCCTTGTATTGTCATTAAAACATTTTCTCTGTTTCCTTTAAATATTTTAACATTTTAGTTAGCATATTCATTCAATTTAGGTGTGAATTGACATGGCATTACAAAGCAATTATGTAGGTTCTATTTGTATTTTTTTTTTTTATATAAAAACCCTGTGAATTTAAATCTATTTTGAGCCCCGAGCAGCAGTAACCGGGTGCTAAATTATAAAAAATAAAGCTAAAATTGCCAAAGTAGAATTAAAGAATTTTTTGGGAGTAATGAAGATTTTATTGATCAGTGTGTAATTAATAATTCATAGTAGATCCGAATTGTCTTTGAGATAGAAACCTTGTGTGTCTAAAACCATCCCTTTATTGTACATTTTTTTAGCTTGTCTGTCTGCTTTATTATCCCCAATATGATGCATTGAGCATGATCTGCTATTTTCACAGCATTTGTAAAACACTTTTGTATAAAGTAGAGCATTAATTCATAAAAAAGGTTTATTTGAATTCTATAAATCAAAGTTTTCTGCCAAACAGCAATGTCGAACTGCACAGCAGCATTCTATACCCAGCTATTGTATCTAGGCAAGAGCTGTCAGTCTGATAAAGAATCTGGTTGTATTCGAAATTGTTAAGGTTAACTTTTTTTGTTTGTTTAAGTTGATTAAAACTGACTAAAACTATCACATATCGCAACAACTAAAATGTGATTAAAACTAACAATAGTTTTCATCCTAAAGACTAAGACTAAGACTAGATCTAAGATGGCTGTCAAAAACAACACTGCTGTGCATGAACTGTAACTTATTAACTGGGTGTTTATATATCCTTTTGAAATCCACAGCATGCACCTGTCCTACAATAGAGAGTTACGCCCCCTGGTTGTTGCTGGCAAAAAGTTCTAAAGTTGCTTGCTAAATACTTTCCACTGACAAGGTGCAGTGTGTATGCTGTTGGGACAAGTTTTCTTGTTATATACCCTGTTATTTCAAAGTGTTTATATCTGTTATTCTGTTATGTCAGCACGCTATTATTAAGATGCTTTTAGCTTAACATGGACATATTTTGGAAATAATTTAGCCCCGCCTTTTGGAGGTTTGTCCTGAGGTGAGGCTGATATAAATAACAGTTCACAGACAGTTAAGGTGAGATAGACTCTGGAACTCTGGCAGGTATGACTGGAAAGACTCTCGTCTTGAGAGACTCCCAAAGGCACCGCGCGTCTTGACGCACAAAACCTTTTTTACGCCCACAGCGTTTCTGCGTTTTACGTTGGAATCTTGCAACTCAGAAACCTCTCGCAGCATGAAGTTCGAAGTGTTGTGCGGAAACCACGATGTGAAGCATTTTGACGTGCCCAGTGATGGAGAGGGGAAAGAGCAGTTTCCTCTCACTCCAGAGGAGGAGCTGGGGTCTGATGGAGATTGCGTTGACAACAGCCCGCCGCTCGGTGCTGCAGGCGGGAGCAACAAATCCAAACCGTACACACGGAGACCCAAGCCCCCGCTTTCCTACATCGCTCTGATCGCCATGGCTATCCGGGATTCTTCCACCGGACGTCTGACTTTGGCGGAAATAAACGACTACCTGATGAAGAAGTTCCCCTTCTTCAGGGGGAGTTACACCGGCTGGAGGAACTCTGTGCGACACAACCTGTCTCTGAATGACTGCTTTCTCAAAGTGCTCAGGGACCCGTCCAGGCCCTGGGGGAAAGACAATTACTGGATGCTCAACCCTAACAGCGAGTACACGTTCGCTGATGGGGTGTTTCGTCGCAGAAGAAAGCGCATCAACAAACAGTTTAGTCGGGAGCAGGAGATCTCTGAGCGTGCGATGGAGCCGCAGATTATAGACAAACCTGATCCAAATACCAAGACTGAGCCAAGCACCAAGTTTACGAGCTCATTTGCAATTGAGACCATCCTCAGCAAACCTTTCAATAGAGACTCAACCAGGCAACCTTTTTATCCTGCATTTATCTGGCCATACTCTGAACTTAGGACGCATTATTCAAGCGCATCCGCTTTCTTCCCGTATGTTTAGACTCACTGTCTTGTGCACTTGATGCTTTCATGAGGCTAAAAGAGATATATATTTTTTTCGTTGTTTATTTTTCTGTTTGAAAGTCATCAGTAAATGTTTTAATTTATTCCATATTTGATAGTTGAGTGGTGTTTTTAAAGCTTTGCATCCCTGAGTTGTCTTTATTTAACATACTGTTAACAAAAATGAATTGTAAATGTTACTGTATAATATAACTTTATTTTTATTTTTTCATAGTCTCAAGATGCACTTTTTTTTCTTTAAAAATGTTATGATAAGAATAACAGCTGAAACAGTAAAAAAAAAAAATGCGATCAGCAGGAACAATAAATGCTACATAATAAATAAATGGTGCTTTTGTTTTCATTGCAGCTATTTACATTTTGATCAGTTGTAAATATCTTTTTATGGATATCTCTTATGGGGGGAGGGAAGGCAGGTGCGCAGATGTCAACAGGCGCGAGCCGTAGTATACCTGCACATGCAGTCTATAACTGAGCATATGATTATTACATAGTAATAAACACTATATGCCAATTCGCAAATGGTTAATTATATTATATTTTGTTCTACCAAGTCTTTATAACCCACCACAGGGATATATCCAAAGTGCCATTGCACTTCTAGAGTCAGGTCCTTTCTTCCTATTTGAAACAATACTGAAATAATATGTACATTGGATGAAGCAGAAGGAAGAGGGAATGTCACAAATGTCAAACATGAATTCAAAATAAATCAAATCTCTCTTTCACCAATTTCTCTGATTTGTATATCTATTTATTTATTTGTCTAGTTGCAATTTTTATTTTAAGATAAGTATTCCATCCCTCATGTTTTCCCAGAAAGAGAATTTTCGAAAATATCAATCCCCGTTTTTAAATTCTGAGCTAAACTGATGATGGACCAAAACACAGAATGAAACAAACAGGCAAAAAATAAATAAATACAATACAATACAATACAATACAATACAATACAAACTCGTTATAGTGGATACAAGGCGCAAATGATCATTTATTTTCACTCTAAATGTTAATGTACCATATTTATTTACAATACAATCAACAAACAAGGAACATATCTATAAAAACCATCACCAATTTACTTTACAGTTGATTCTAAATGTTGCCTTGTTTGTTAATTGGCTCGGTATCCAACCCATGGACATAAGATTAGACCCCGGGTCGACAGCTTTCGCTTATTGGTGCTGACGTGATTTGGTGGCGCCATCTTGGGGCGGTCAACATCTCGCCTATATATATATATATATTAATATATATATTTTAACTTTGTCAATTATTCTGTTATTTTTATACACTTTTTAAGGTCAAACTTAAGGGAACCCTTTTGCTGTAATCTGTACACCAATAAAAATATTGGTGCTGCAACGCCAATATTTTATCACCCTTTATTGTCACACAATTTACCCATTGTGTGATGTAAAGCCATGTGGGATGGTGTTGAGGTCCTTACTAAAGTTCGGGTCATTAACCTTTAGGAATGTTGAATTAAAATATAGCCAATCTAAACACATGATTTAGAAAAGCGTTGACTGGCCTACAGCCTCAATAAAACAACAATAAAAAAAACCTGAAAGCAATGCCATTCTAGGCATGCATGCACTGAATTGTTTATTGTTGTTATGTAAGGCATGTGCCCTAAAGTTTTATATTTCAAAGAATATACTTTTATATTGGTTCTGTCCTCTGCGGTTTCTTTTTCTTATGTTGTTTGCCAATACAAGGAGGGGTAGAGAAGGCTATAGGACATGTTCAATTAATTAAATGTAACCGTTTTTTTATTATTATTATTATTATTATTATTATTATCTAGTTTTCATTTAAATCTACCTCAGTTGAGAGACAGAGCTGCAGAAGTTCAAATCCTGTTATACTGACTTGCCCTGCACTGCCATCTCCTGGTAACAGAAAGGAAAGGCAGGTGTTTCAAGCATTTAGTAGGAGACACGTATTTAAAAAAATCGCAGCAGACGTCAAAACTCATTGATGACGAGCCCGTCACACCAAGCTCTCTAATTTTTTTAAAGAAAGAATTAGTGCATCTCTTTTTTATTCAAACTCCAGTTTCAGCGACTGCTCATCTTGTAGTAATTAGACTGATATTAGTTTGGCTTCTTATGCAAAATCCAGGAATCCTTAGTTTTTTTTAAGATCCGAGATGAAGACAAATCTGTTACCGCTTATTAAGGTAACTGTATGGTCTTGAAATATATGTAACTTTTATTCATTTTTTTGGATATTTTTTGTAGCACTGGTCTTTTTTATTTTTTTCTTTCCCTGTAAAATAATGGCACAATTACCACCGACACAAAAACGCTCCAAAACGCTCCACCTTTTACCAAAAAAGAAGCCTCGTGTTTTTATTATTGCACTATTATTGGAAACAAATTTTAAATTAAACAAACATTAAATACTTAAACACATTAGGGGAATTTGTTCCCCTTTTTGTAGAAAATCAATCGATTTAGAGCTAATCCTTAAAATAGGCTTTGCACGTCTACCATAATTGTTCTTTTTAGCCATGTTCAATGAAATGATACAGCGGGATGTGGGTAGAAACTTAACATTTTCGGGGCGAAAAAAAAAGAAAAGTGACCATCCGTCTTTGCTGACGGACCAGACTCCTATAGTTCGCATGCCAAACCGTCACTCAGATTGCCGCAAATGACCCTGGCCTCCATTTTGGACATTCCTGCTCTGGTTCTTGCATTTTTTTCTTTTCATTCAGCTCATTTCACATGTTTTTACAGAGTTTTGTTAGAATACTCATAAAGAACAAGGAATCAAAGTCCGGGTAATTGTCTTATGTCTTTTGATCATTTCCCCGTTGACAGACTGACCTAATACCTGATTTCATATCAACCGATCTATGATGGGACAAGGCTCCCATTGCATTTGGAAGACAAACAAGCCCACAGCGTTACAGATCCTCCACCATGCTCACGCCCACTACAGTGAGCATGGGGGCTTTTCCACATACTTTCTTTTGTTTCACCTCGAAACATTATGGAATATATATATTTTTAACTTATTAAGTCAAAGCACACAATTGCATTTAAAGTTTCAGAAACGTTTGGCAAAATCTGCGATTTTTATGATAATATATCAGAAAACTGGAAAAACCTATTACGGTGAAATAAAATCTGTTGGTTGTTTTCGGGACTAGTCTTTTTTTGTATTTCTTTGCTGCCCTCCCCAAAGCGTATTATTTAAATCCCCTTTGCCATCTTCCACAATTAATGCCCACTTGCATGAGATTCTCTGCTCAAGGAGTCTGAAGACATTGTTTTTTAATCAGAGGTTTAATTTAACTCTGACAAAATAGTAAATGACAAATGCTCCAGTGACAGTTAGCAAAATTATATAAAACAAATAAATATATTAAATGTATAATAATACAGGACATTTTATTCAAAGCACATTTCAGGACACTCAATATCACTTTACAAAAAACAATAAAAGTACACAATATCATACAATATACATTAAAAACAGTGGAGGTATGAGGTTTTGAACAGATGAGTTTTTAGCCTTGATTTAAAAAGCTTTTGTCTGAGGTTACAACACTTGTACAACTGACCTTTTCTTTTTATTTTAACTCAATGTTTTTTCAGTTCAAGGTTGTATTTTCAGATTTTTTTAGAGTGAGATCATGCCTTTGAAATAACTTGTTAAAACAGCCTAATACAAATATTAACCATTATCTGTCTGTTTTTTCATTGTCAGTTTATTTATTTGCTGCCCAAAGAGCTGAACGGTATAAATAACTTATATTTTATGGGGATTTTTGGTTTTAAACTAGATTTTTTTCCCTCCAAATTAATGTTTTCAACGTGGCAAATATGTGGTGAATTTCAGTTGTGTTAATAACCATAAATGTGATACCGTTATTCACATGAAAGAAGAATTCATCATTATACTGTATACCATGGGTTTCTTACTGGTTGCTGATTATGCACATTCATTGAATGTAAACAAGCAGAAATAAGAAGGAAATAAAATAATGATCCCAAAAAAAGCAAAAAAAAACAAAAAACAAAACAAAAACACAACAAACAAACAAAAAGGTTACTTAAGAAAATGTAATTGTTCATTTTAATTAAACATCCTATTTGACAATCTCATTCAAGATAAACGTATTATTATGTCATATATTTGCTTACCTACAAAAAAAAGGTAATCTCTTCTGCATTGACCTATCAATTGCCCTTCATGAACAAAACTTTATTTTTTGTGACCTGATTTATTTGCTTTTATCCATTGTTATACTGGCATAGGCATAGCCTAACATCAGCAGAAAGTAACAAAAGATGAAAAGGAAAAGGTAAGTTGATATATTTATCTAACTAAAATTAAGCGAAAACTTAAAAGAAACAACAAGATAAATATTAGTTTTAATATACAAGAAAAAGAAGAGTTTTCATAATTAAATTTCGTGACCAAGGCCAATAGCTCTTTTAAAAGTACAAATCAGGTTTAATAAAGATCAATAATATACCTCCCTTTTTAGGATTAGTGGCAACAACCATAACATCAGCTCCTGTTTAAGCACCACAAACACAGTCATCATAATTAAAGGTTTTCCCACTCAGATGGGAACTGTTTGTTATTTGTGTCCAGAGATGTCATACCAAAGTTGATCAGGAGGGGGCAGCACTTTAAAAGAAACATTCTGCAATTTTCTAGTCTGTCCGGACTATATCTATGTACAATTTTATATAACTTTTTAAGAACATTAATAAGCAGATGAATACAACATATAAGATACGAGTGCTTTTTTCGTTTTTGTTAGTTTTCTTTTCTTTTTTTTACTTGATTTATTTAGTTATTTAAGCTATTTATTTGCTTCTGGGGTTGACTGACTCTTATGTAATCAAAATAATTATGCTAAATTGTACATTTTGATTTTAAATTAAATCAAAGTTCAAAGATGATCTGATTTTTCTAATATGTACTGTTGTTCTCTTTCTTACCTCAAGAGGGAACCAAGCTCTTAATGTTGGTGGTAAAAATTGAACAACGCGCTCTTTCTTCATTTTAAAGTTACATGAGAATAAAAGTTATATAATCACAGTAATTCATTCTGTTTGTTACACGTATTTTTTTTTCAATGATCTTTACGAAAGTTATTTAAGGAACTGCGACAGGACTTTTGATATTGTTTTTTTTTATTGTTTCGTAAGATTTCAAAAGGAGGCTATATATGGCCTATTAGTGTGAACATACCGCTATGCCAAAATATATCTAGAGATATTGTGATAATTAAAATCATATACACATGTTACTTTTTGTTTTGTTTTGATAGACCTTTTGTGAGTTTTAAAATGAAAATGTAATCAAAACAACAATTGTAAAACCACAGTAATCTGATTTTAACATCATATACAGTCAATACCAAAATATGTTTCGTGTATAAATCTCCCTATACCACATAGCCTAATAAATAATTTTTGTTTAGTTTTTTTCTGGAAAACAATTTGTCAAAGGAGTGTTCATTGTTACGGCTTCAATTTTCTCTGGAATAAGTGAACCCTGTTATGCCTGTGATGGTGCCCAGTCGTGAATAGTTTAGATTATCAGGAGTTTAAAGGGGACTTGGTGGGCAGAGCGCTGCATTAGGTAAAAAGGCCCGTCATGAACTGTGTAAACAGCCCAGGGCGGTGGAAAAAGTTCATGCCCGGGTCCATGTAAGAAGAAACCAGCGGAGCGCTGCAGGCCACCACGCGGACTCTTAATTAAGGCGACCTGAGGAGGATTTCAGGAAAACTGGGACTATTTGGTGTCTCACGGTGATCGGTGAGGCTTTTAACGCGCTGCTGTTCCCTACAGTCGGAGGAAGAGGCCTTAAGTGTCAGTTTATCATTGAACTTTTGGTGTTTTGGTCGTTTTATTAGACTTCAACGCCTATAAAGCTCAGCATTATTTTTTACAACACAATGTTTTAATGATTTTTCCAAGTTAAAATAATGATAAAAATGGTCTAAAACTTACCAAAAACTAAAAAAAAAAAAAAAAAAAAAAAAAAAAAAAAAAAAAAACACACTATTGAACTTAATGCGTGTGTGCTTTATTTATTTATTTTTTTTTTGCATGCATTTTCCTGTAATAAACTCTCTCACCTACATTCTGCGTATTTTCAGCGCAAACTGTCTTTAATTCTGGAGTTAATTAGACCTAAGTTAATTTGCTCTCTCGAACTGACCTTTTCCGCTTTGAACTCACACTGATCAACATTTGGTGCTGGGGTTTGCATGGATGTAAGGGAATCAATTTGCTCTACTGATTTTCTTTTAAATTGAACCATTCGTGACCATTTTCAAAAAAAAAAAAAAAAAAGGCTTATGGTTTAATTAGTAATAGTTCATGTTTTCATCTCAGTTCAATAGCAATGCACAAAAAAAAAAAACACTTGAAAATTGGGTTGAAAATAAAATTACATTGAGAAATGAAATATATTATATTCACTATATTATCAATCTAAACTTCAGAAATGTCACAGCATTTTTCTTTCACATAAAAAAAACCCCCAATAAGGTTGATTTGTTGACTGATAGAGGACGCACCGTGCAGGAACATGTCTTCATGTTCTGCCTGTGTGTGTCTGTTAGTTGCTCTGTCACGTCTGAAGTTTTTTTGGCAGGAGCGCGCTGGGAGTTACTGACACCTCCTGAAGCCTTTCCTCAGAGCCGTGAGTGTGGCCAGCCAGCAGCGCCCGTCTGCTAGAATTGTGCGCGGCCTGGCTTTCCATTGGACGACCCGAACGCTTCGGAAAAGGAGGCGTGGCTTCCCCGGCAGCAAAAAAAGGAGGAAAGAATTTAACTGCGCAAAAAGTCTTGTGTGGTGACGGATGTTCCAAAGTTCAGAACTTTTTTTTTCTCCAAATAGTCCCAAGGATGGGGACGGCTTGAAGACAATTCGCTTTTGTTTTTGTTAGTATTTTACAGAAAAGCAGCAAGGAGCTGGGATTTGACTCATCACCAGAGGGAGAAGTGCAGCTGACTCCTTGCAGACTCTGGATCAAAGTGAAGACATGCAGGCTCGCTACTCTGTCTCCAGCCCCAACTCTCTGGGCGTCGTGCCGTACATCAGCAGCGACCCCAGCTACTATAGGGCCGCTGCCGGTGGGAGCTATACGGGAATGGCAGCGCCCATGAACATGTACTCTCATGCGGCTCACGATCAGTACCCCGCCAGCATGGCCCGGGCATACGGACCATACACCCCGCAGCCTCAGCCCAAGGATATGGTAAAACCCCCATACAGTTACATTGCGCTCATCACCATGGCGATCCAAAACTCGCCCGACAAAAAGGTGACCCTGAATGGGATTTACCAGTTCATCATGGAGAGGTTTCCATTCTACAGAGACAATAAGCAGGGATGGCAGAATAGCATCAGGCACAATCTCTCTCTGAATGAGTGTTTTGTCAAGGTGCCCCGTGATGATAAGAAGCCCGGCAAAGGCAGCTACTGGACCTTAGATCCGGACTCTTACAACATGTTCGAGAACGGGAGCTTCCTGAGAAGGCGGCGGCGCTTCAAGAAGAAGGACGCGCTGAAGGAGAAGGAGGAGCGGCTGCAGAAGGACCTGCCGCCGAGGCAGCAGGGCCGGGAGCAGGAGCAGGGCTCCCAGCCCGTCAGGATCCAGGATATTAAAACGGAGAACGGGTCCGTCACCCCGCCGCAAGCCGATTCGCCCTCTTTGAACACGGTGCCCAAAATCGAGAGCCCAGACAGCAGCAGCAGCGCGTCTAGCGGGAGCCCCCACAGCATCCCATCCAACAGGTCCATCGGGATGGACAGCTCCGAGCACCAGCACCACGGTCAGGCTCCTACGCAGGGTTTTAGTGTGGACAACATCATGACCTCCCTCCGGGGGTCTCCGCAAGGGGTCAATGAGCTCCCCTCCACTCTGGCCGCCACTAGGACAGCAGGTATAACGCCATCTTTGTCCCTAAACTATTCTCCAAGTCAAACATCTGTCTATAGCTCGCCTTGTAACCAGAACTCCATCTCCACTACCTCCAACGCTACCTATCATTGTAACATGAGCCTTTATGCCGGGGACAGATCCAGCCACTTGGCACCGAGCACCGTGGATGAAACATTGCCAGATTACTCGGTCACGACCACCTCGTCCTCTCTGACGCACGCTAACCTGAACTCCGGGCAGGAGGGCCCCCATACCCACCAAGGGAGGCTAGCCTCATGGTACCTGAACCAGGCCGGGGAACTGGGCCATCTTGGCGCAACTTACCCTGCGCAACAGCAGAACTTCCACTCTGTCCGCGAGATGTTCGAGTCACAGAGGATTGGCTTGAATAATTCACCGGTGAATGGGAATAACAGCTGTCAGATGTCATTCCCACCGAGTCAGTCCATCTATCGCACGCCGGGAGCTTTTGTGTATGACTGCAGCAAATTCTGACCAAAATCCAAAGAGAAAAGAAAAAAGATGGAAGGGAAAGATCAGTATTCTGTTTAACCACATCGTGTTTGAACTTTGACATTAAAACTCATCCTTTTACCTCTGTTTTTCCTGCCCAGTGGCAGGGTGGACTAATGTGAGACAAAAACACAGAAAAAAGACTTGATTTTGTTTTTTTTTGTTTTTGTTTTTTTCCTAAAGAACAGTGTTACTGCAAATAACACGTAAGTTTCTCTTTTTTTTGTCATATGTTAAAGATGTGTCTTGGACGTGTACAATTGCATATAAAGTAATTTATTTTTAAAACTGTCACCAAATATCATGGACCAAACACCCAAAAAGTGTTT